CCTGTATTACTAGATCGCTTTCATCAACATCTCAAAAGTGAGAGATTTGAGGAAGCAACACCGTGTATCAGCTTGCTAAAGCTTTCCTCTGTTTTTGGTCTGATGCCCATGACCTTGCCTTCTGATGATACTGGACCTGAGAAAACTGGCCCCAAGTACTCCGCCCAGGTTCTCTGTTTTGGAAGACCTGGCCAGCCCTGTATGTGAAGTACCTGGTCTATGTTCTGTTTTACAGTGGGCTTCAGTTCTGTATCAGGCGTATCTATTCTACCTTTAATTATGTGGAGATTGGGCAATGCCTGTGGCTCAAGGAGTAGGGCGCCGGCCCTACCGTAGGTGGTGAGTTCAAACGTGGCCCCGGGCCAAAAACTAAAATAATAATGTGGAGATCATTCTACTAGATTGAAAAAAAGAATACAATGGAAGCCAAGTGGTTTTCCTCATCTTTATGTGCATTATATACATTTACCAATATTTAAGTTTTAACCTACAGAAAATATCCAGAGGAGTCTATTCCTTACTCTTTCCTTGTCCTATGTCTTAGCGTTTTCCTTACTCTTGGCTTCCCTCAGCTTTAGCCTGAAGCTGTAAGGTACCTGAGGTCTTGTCCTGTACTGCTGGAAACGCAGATCCAATCCCTTACATTCCTTAGGATACATCCAGTGGTAGTCAGCATGCCAAGTTACTATATGCCTAAACTAGAACTTTCATTTTCTTAGTGGGGGGAGAATATTACATGAAAGTTCTAAGACTATAAAAATACTATCTATTTTCCTCTCTTAATCCTAGCTCAGATGATAAAATTCCAATTAGGAGAAATAAGAACATGGCATATGTCATTTCACCTGGGCGCACAAACCTAGTTTGGACAGAACAGTCAGACTGTTAGCCTCTAAGATTATTTGAAGAAACATCTTTCAATAAGTAGTTAACCATTAAAAACCAAAGTGAGCATCCTCTCTGCCCAGCAAAATGACCTAGGGCCAATGGCTGGGCAAACCACGCCTATGGGCATAACAAATTCTACAGCGTGCACAAATGGTCTTGTATGTGAGAGGAAGCAAACATACAAAAAGTGTTATTGTAAAGGTGGGGGGAGTAGGTGGGGATAATATGGGTTTTACTGAAATCACAGGGAAAGGCAAGGTTGGAGTTCAAGGTTGGAGTTCAAGGTTGGGAAGAGAGCCACAAGGCAACGCCTATTGCTCTGGGCTGGTATTGTCAATGCAGAGCATAAATACAGATGTGTGAATGTGTATTTTGTAGATGAATATGCATGTGGTTGGTGTGTATGTATGCCTGTCTAAACGAGGGAAAACAGGCTTCTATTAGGCTCTGACAAATATAAAAAATGTTTGACAGATCGGAACTCAGAAGCCTTGCTCAGAACATATGCTTTCTCATTTTTCCCATCATTCTCTGAAGTGACTCCTTGCAAGAACTTGTCCTTGGCCAAGCAGAAAGCTCAAGCCCCAGTAGCGAATATTTAGATAACTGTGATCCTGAGGTAGCCAAACAATATTCCCAAACCGAGTAGCTTATAACATATTTAAATGCAAATGTATTTTAGGTCTTTTTCTTGGCAAAGATGCTGGGTAAAATTTCTAATACCAATCAGGGATTGGCAAAAAAGTGCTTTTTCAGACTTAACACAACGGTATTTCCCAGCCATCAACCAGAAAGCAATAGAAGCTGCAGGCAGCAAGTCTTTGGCAAGAGTCAAACTAACTATGTCACAGTCACTGTGCCCAGGGGCTGTGGATATCATTCATTCTGGCCTAACTAGCCCATAAGATGAGAGGTGTCCAATTCCCCCCAGTACAGTGGCTAGAGGAGAAGAAGTATGATATCATAGCATGTGAATTCTTGATTCCAGTTGCTTAAACATATGCATTCACTTGTAATCATCAGGACTAGCCCTGAATGGTGTTGCCCAAATTTTCTTGGTGATAAAAATCACCTGGGGTCACGTCCAACCCCATGGTCTGTTTCAAGGCTCTGCACTGGGAAATATTGCACATCTGGGGTTCAATAATTTTACATTTTTGTTCTATAACTCAAGTCCAATTAGACAACAGAGCATGTGCTAGGAACGTGGAACCTCAGATCCCAGAAGTTCCACCTCCTAGTGGTGGTTTCTCAACCTCCTACTCCCTTAGTCTGGGTGCCTCAGCCAGCTCTGCCTCTCTGTCCCCACACCTGCCCAGTGACCTCTACCATCCCATGGTACTCAGACATATCCCGTTTCCTGGTTCCTCCACAGCTACTGTTGTTGCCCTTCTCCCCCAGCGGGGGCCTGGACACAAACACACAGAGGGTTAAGGTCTGGTGCATATATCCCGTGCTGTCTTGGGAGGGGACATATGCCTACATAGGATGTCCATTCCAGGCACTCCCCTCTTGGCATGGGAGTTGCAGTCCCTTGGGAATCACCTCCCCACCTTCATTGCTGCTGTAGGACAGTGACAAGGAAAGATTAAGTTATCCTCCACTGCTGGAGCCTAGCATCCTGTGGCTGGCAGGCTGGGGATCCTAAGGGCATATAGGTGCTAAATTACAGGATGCACCCCCAAGCACCTTAGAGGGTTTGTGCTCTCTCAGCAAATATCCCCATGCTAGAGGAAGCATAATAGTAAGTACCAAAAATTTTTTCAAAAATAATATTATTGATTGTGAAAGAGACCACAAAAGCAAAGAAAAAGCTTTATATTTTAGTATTTTCAATAGCACTTTTTTCCCTGGGTTTGAACAATGGCCCCCATATATTCATTTCTCACTGAGCCCCACAGTGTGTGTAGCCCACCCCTGCCTGCAGTGAGTACTTTTTTTTTTTTACTCAGTATACACTTTAATGGAACAATCATTATTACATTTGCATGAAATATTAATTTACTCTCTTTTCTCCCTTAAAAATTCTGCTTGTTTTTTTTTTTTTTTTTTTTTTTATTGAATGGTAACTGTGTACATTGATGCACTTTGGGGGTACAGTAGTGAGTACTTTTAAAACATAAAGATTACCAAGCCTCAGAAATTCTGGTTCAGTAGGTATATAAGAATTCTCAAACTTAATTATCCATAAGAATATTCTGTAGAGCTTCATTTTCTCCAGTCTCACCTACCAAATACTCTGATTAATTGAGCCTAGATAAGCCCCCAAATCTTCATAGATGATGCTATAGCAATTGGTTCACAGATGACATTTGAACAGATACTGGCGTCTAAGAGCACAAATTATAGAGTCAGGCAGATTTGGGTTTGTATCTACCATGTACTAACCTTAGAGGAGTTAACATGTATCTCAAAACTTTAGTTGATTCATTTATAAGGGATATATTAATATAACTCCACAGGATATTAGGTTGTAAGGATTAAATGTATATAAAACATTTACTACAATGATGTAAAGTATATGCTCAGTAAATGTTAAAAAAAAATTAGGAAGGCTCAGCACCTGTAACTCAGCAGCTAGGGCACCAGCCACATACACCAGAGCTGGCAGGCTCAAGCCTGGCCCCCTAGCCTGCCAAACAACAATGACAACTACAACCAAAAATTAGCCAGGTATTATGTCAGGCACCTATAGTCCCAGCTACTTGGGAGGCTGAGGCAAGAGAATCACTTAAGCCCAAGAGTCGGAGGTTGCTGTGAGCTGTGATGTCACAGCACTCTACCCAGGGGAAAACAGTGAGACTCTGTCTCAAAAAAAAAAAAAAATTAGGAAGACTATAAAGTCTGGCTTATGTACACACTGGTGTTTATTATATTATGTAGGTTTTTCATATTTTTACAACTTTTCAAGATTAAAAGCCACAGTGAGTTAGAAAGGGAGATCTAGAGAATGAAAAAGGAAGTCAGAGGCCTAAAATGAGTCAGCCCCATAGTTCCCCACACACCACATACACACATCAGGAAGCTAATGTTCCAGTGTCTAGGACATAATCAGTGTTCAGTAAGTTGAATTTGGGACAATAAAACATGCCCCAAGGACCATCTCTGATGTGCACTTTAAAGGATTGACTGCCTCCTTTCCCTTGTTTATGAATAGATTTATGCCTAGGGCTATGTGTGCTTTGGAAAAAGGGCAGAAGTTCAGGAAGAGCTAGCCAGCTTCTGTAAAGGGCTTACTGAATGTTGAGTGTGCCCTCTAGCGTCCACCCTTCTCAGCTTCCTTCCTGAAAAGGTGGATCAAGGCCCTTGCTTACTCTGGAATTGAAATCCTCCAAGTTGATCAAGACATTGAGATAATGAAAATATTCATTGTCTTCTGTGACTGTACAATGAATATACAGGGGAAGGAATGGATTGGCCTCTTATCTAAAAATGTGCACTTTGCCCAAAACTCAAGCACAGCTAAGTAGGGCGAAGACAGCTTAGTACCCAGCCAGGAGCGAGTTGAATATGGTTAAGGAAGCGTGGAAGGAATGCGGGAGCCCTGCTGTTTCTCACTGCCTGAATGACTATAAGCTCAGTCCTTAGAGAGGTGTTAGGTCTCCTTTCATAATATTACAGTTTAGAAAGGGTTTGAAAAGTCCTCCTAGAAAAAATACAGTTTTTTTTCTTTGAAGTGACCTATAGCAAAGAGATTTCCTCACGCAGGAATAGGAGACTCAATCATAAGTATTAATCTTGAGAAGTCAAGTGGACATGTTCCCTAATGTATCTACCATATCTCCATGAAAGAATTTGTGCCACCAAAGAATCTGATTCACTTGGAAGAGAAATCCAAGGGCCCTAAATCACCAAAAGAAGCCATTCCTCAGATTTGCCTCCACTGGAGCTCCCGTCTTGTGTGTGCTCTCTTCAAGACAGTTACAGAAATGGCTTTTTTGACAGTGCTCCAGATACACTAATTCATCTGCAAAGCTGATACTTTCCAGAAACATTCCATTTCTGCTAGCACCTAGAAGCCATCTTTTAGTTCACTCCTGTAACTGGCAGACATAATTTTTTTTTCTGGATCAAATGTATTATGCGGTAAGATTCTTATTTTGTTTCCACAGGTCCTTTTAAGTGGTAAAATTGGTCCATTCTGTGGAGGCGCCATCATTAATGAAAAATGGGTCGTAACTGCTGCCCACTGTGTTGTACCTCCTGTCAACATTATAGTTATTGCAGGTAACAGAAACAATAATCTCGAGCATCACTAGATCTTCTATATAATTGGTACATCATATTTTACTAGTATCTAATAGGATTGTTGCTGAATAAATTGGGCTACTGGAAAAAGGATTACAATTCCAAAACTTAACTCGCTCCATCCTCCAAACTCTCATAGTTCTTTTGATGCACTCATATTTTCACTTTTCTGAGTGGGATACAATTGGTTATTCATGTGTCCATTCTCCTACTAGACTGAGCCCTCCCCAAAGCCAGTGTTATGTCACTGACCTTTGTATCTCTGATGCCTGGCATGACCTATAGTAGGTCATCAGCTAGCATTTGAATTAATGACCAGATGAATTTTTGTTCAGAAAGTGGGTCAGAATACTTGAAATTGGGAAAATCTAGGATAATGCATGACAAGTAGATTCATTATCACCAATGTAAGACTTGTAAAAGTATAGGTGAACAGAATCATCTCTGTGATGGCTCTGAATGGGTTTTGCTCTGAAAAAATATGCATTGGCCCTCATTACATTTTACTAAAATCATCACAATATAAAATTGAGATCTTTGGCATTTCCAGTTAGATCAGTGATGCTGAGTAGACACTTGGAAAATCTGTTTCTTTGTGTGAATGACTTTTCATGACTAAAAATAAAATGTATTTTCAATAGGTGAACATGACATTGAGAAGACAGAACCTACAGAGCAAAAGCGAAATGTGATTCGAATTATTCCTCACTACAGCTACAATGCAACTATTAATAAGTACAGCCATGACATTGCCCTTCTGGAACTGGATAAACCCTTGATACTAAACAACTATGTAACACCTATTTGCATTGCAGACAGGGAATACACAAACATCTTCCTCAAATTTGGATCTGGCTATGTGAGTGGCTGGGGAAGAGTCTTCAACAGAGGGAGATCAGCTTCAATTCTTCAGTACCTTAGGGTTCCACTCGTTGACCGAGCCACGTGCCTTCGATCCACAAAGTTCACAATCCATAATAACATGTTCTGTGCTGGTTACCATGAGGGAGGTAGAGATTCATGTCAAGGAGATAGTGGGGGACCCCATGTTACTGAAGTGGAAGGGACCAATTTCTTAACTGGAATTATTAGCTGGGGTGAAGAGTGTGCAATCAAAGGCAAATATGGAATATATACCAAGGTATCTCGCTATGCCAACTGGATTAAGGAAAAAACAAAGCTCACTTAAAGAAGAATGTATTTCCAGGGTTAATTCATTAGGATTGAAAATGGACAGGGTGCTCTACTAACTAATCACTTTCCCATCTCCTGATAGATTTGAACATATTCATTCTACGAATACTGCTTTTTCTCTTTACAGTGGAAAATTTCATCTAGAATTCTTATTTTACTAGAGTAAACAGCTTAGAAAGTGGAATCACTGGAGAAATCTAATATGGTGGGAAATTGTGACCATTCCTATGGGCCCAACTCTGGACAAAATTGTAAAGTTGAGTTGTTTGCTTTGCCCACCAGGTACTCCTTTTTCACAGCATTCCTTGTTCCAGATGTTCCTTGCCTCTGCCACTAAAACAGCAATAGTTATTCGCTATACAGCATCTTTGGTCTAGTCTATCACAAGGCCAGCACCACACTCATAAAGGAAGAAAACAGGAGAAGATAATGGTTAAAATTTTTCCTGAGTCATTTATCTTTTCCAACTCCCAATCCCTAAATCATATTTTCTCTTTCTTGCTCCTTCTCTTCCCTTTTTCCCTCCACAGTCACTAAAGAAGGGAAAGGGAGTATTATGCATTGCTGTTGTGCACAGTTATACATGTCCATCACGCCCCGACTTTCAGTTTCATCTCAGACTTGCTTTTCAGAACATAAGAATGAAGTAAGGTACCTGAAGAATTTGGGGTGGGAGACTTCCTTTCAGAGAATTAAGTTAGTGAATTATATACGTGTGTTAGGAAGACATTTCGTAAAATATAATATACCACATACATGTGTTTCCACTAAGAAAGCTAACATTGACTCAGGTAGATTGTCTCCCATCTGAAAAAAAAATACTAACAGAAAGAAGAGAACAGTCAATCTTCAACCTAGAACTAGTAGAATCTTCAAGGAGGGGTTCGGTGATGTGTCTCCAGCACTGTCCAGGGCCAAGCAAAAAGTTGTCTAGGCTGGGGGCCCTGAGTATCCTGTCTCCTTGACCAGCACACCTCTGCAGTGGAGAAGGGTATAGCTGACTCAAACACATGAGTCTTTCTAATCTGCCAACTTAAGTCTCTATTTTCCCATTTCAGGCTCAACAAGGAACTTTTTGATTATAATTAATCCTTCTATCTTGAACATTCTAGAAGGTTGCTAACCAACCAACCTATGTTTCCTTTTGTGAACTAATAAACTGATGCCCTGGTTCATACTTTGGCTTTTTGTGTATTTGGACAATGTGACTTAGTCTCTCAGCATTTGATGGTGCATGGGACAAATGACAAACTCAAGCTGCTGCTGTCTCCTTCCTCCTTCTTACCCCCAGCCAGCCCCCACTCTTGCTGATTTTTTTAAAGTTCTTCTATTTAATACTTATTTACTTTAGTCTTTCAAACATCAATAAATTTATTTTTTAATTTCTCAAAATGTTTCTTATTAAATTCAGAGAGGTATTCTAAACACTACATTAGGTGAAACAGAAGAATGTGCTCAAATTCAATACAAAACAGCAGAGATTGTCATCTGGTTTTCACATGCGGTGACATGGGCTGTGAATGGAGAGGTCAGTGGTCTGGATCCAGTTCTGATGTAATTGGGTGTAAATAGCTGTGAGATGGCCTTGCATAAGTCACTCTCCATTTGGGAATTTGATTTCCCCATGTTTATAATTAGACGGTTTGATAAGATGCTCTCCAAAGACTTTGCTTGTAATTTTGATAGTCTGTGATTTAATGGGGTTTTATTCCTCTATTCAACAAATATTCAAAGAGTGATTACTGTGTGACAAATGCCAATAATCTTCATTAAATTTGCATTCACATTTATACATTTAGAGAATTAAATAATGTATGTAAATTGTTTTGTCAGTGCCTACTACACTACCACACAGTGGTTGCTCAATAAATGTTTGCTGAATCTGAATCCATGTTTGTCCTAGAGTAGGAATTAGTCTTGTTTCGAGTATCATGAAAGAAGTCCATACATAAATAAATATAATGCCTAGAATTTACATTTTGTGAACAAATGAAAGAAATCAGTTCTACACTTGTTGGCTGAAGGAGAAAGGAGATAGTATAATTGTGTGCCTTAGGTTTAAGGAGGATGCTAATTCACACACAAAACATATTAAAGTTTGAATGACTAAAGGTCTTGTAGCCAGAGAGTTCTGCAGTTAGTATAAGTGTAGCTCTGGCTCAGTTGCCATAGAAACCACCCCTAACAAGGGCAGCCCTGGGGAACTTGCCTCACACTTCCTGTGATTGGCCTTCCCATGACAGAGGGAGGAGCTCCTGGGCTCATAAATCTCTGAGCCACAGTTCTCCTTTTTCTCACGGACTTGAAAATGATTAAATTCATCACAAACCCCCTGTGGCATGTTGCCAACACTAAACATGTGGGGACTTTAAGCTCACCTAAGAGCCAGTGACTTCACAGCCATGCCCTGGCTGGATTCTACCTAGAGCATTTGCAGTCACCAAATAAGAATCATTAGTGCTTTCAAAATCACCACAGCTACTTAGCCTAAATGGGCTGAAACATGCTGCCATAATATTGGAAGTGACAGATGAAAATAGAACTCCTGCTGAGTGAAAGAAAGTATGTTACTATAGTGCAGACATTTTAACTTGCTGTTTAAGTATAATCCTTTTGGGTTCTTTTGAATATTAGTTGCTTCATGGTCACAGAAACAAAGTCCTCTCCAATTTTCCCTGCCAAGGGTAAAAGAAAGGATTTTCTCCCCTGCTTTACTGAACTATGACAGATCAGTTTACAAAATCACATAATTACAATTTCTCAAAAACCTGTGTATGTTTTCAGTCTAATCTAAGACTGTCAGAGCTGCAAGGGCCTTAAACACCATCCAATTGTCTCAACTCATCTAACAAATGAGAAGATTGAGGCCACGGTAAATCCAGGCCCAAAGTAACACAATGACAGAGCAAGAACTAGAACTCGGGTCTTTCACCCTGCACTATGAAAGCACAGCACTTTCAACTGAAATACATTAAGTCTACTATCTGTATTTTTAGGGCTCTGAGGGCATTCTGCATTGGTGGAAATCCTTTCAGCAAACCTGGAACTGAAATTCGTGAATTTTTACTAGCGATGCTCTAATTGACAAACAGGTAACAATATCAACAAATAGCCTGGAAGGCAGAGTTTCAGTGAAAAAAACCAGAGCTGCAACCCCTAGCTCCTAGCAAGTACCCTTGGTAAATTCATGTATGATGACTGTGTAGTACTGATATCTAGCAGTTAGCCCATCTGTGAGCTCTGGACTTTCCAGATATGACATTTGACTTCTAGAGCATGTTCAACGGTATCATCTGGCACATCATAATTCCAGTAACATTACATTGCAACTGTGCTGGGGAGGATATTCCAGAAGTCATTGCTTTAAGTTTGAAGGCAGACTTCAAAAGCCCACTGAAGCTGGGGTTCTAATAGTAAAGCATAGCTGTGGGATGATTAAGAAACAGACTACAGGTGCTGGAAGGCCCATCCAAGTCAAGCAATCAGGAATCAGGGCTCTTTTTAATCTAAGGCATAGCCGTCTAGAAATCTCAGGGTTAGAGCCACAAACATCAATATGCTTTGTAAGCTATGGAAGCTGTTAAAGGAGTCACAGCAAGCAAAGGTCTGTGGGACTCCTGCTCTTCCCAACCAATCCAGGTCCAAAGATCACTCTACATATTTACTCCTATAGCAGTTTCAAGGCAGACCTCTGTCAACCTGTTCTTGGGGCTATGGACTGCCTTGAGATTCCTGAGTTAATCTCAACTTTTTTTTTATTATTATTAAGTCATTTTGCAAGTACAGGTTGGATCTATCAGATGTAAAATGCAAATGCCTTAATCTCAACTTTTAATAGGGGTAAAGGTATCAGAAGAGAAGAACAGCAGGCAGCCTGTTATATAGAGAGAGACAAAGAGGCAAAGGCTTCTGGAACAGGGCCATGATATTTCTCTACACCCTCACAGAATATGACAGAAGGATTTCAAACTCTTGGCCAGATCACTTCACTCTAGCAGGAGAGCTATGCTTCTCTCGGTTAAGAGAAGACTGGAAATAGATACAGGGGTATTCCTGATTCCAACGACTTCCATTCAAACAGTTGCTTCATTGTGATGTGAAATATGAGATCTCTATAAAAACTTACCAACATAATAAATCTCTCTGATGCTGTCACTCTTAGAGAAATGCTGTAGTATATAGCTTCTCTAGATCAATAACTACATAGATGCTTAAGTGCTGACCGCATAAAGATAAAGGGGTCTCATAATTTACATGTTATGCGCTTTCATGAAGATCTGTATATATAAAAGCCTATTTTCCTCTTGGACTGTATTACAAAAATACACATGCATTTTCATGAGATTAAAACCCAGCTCTAAAAATAAAAGCCCAAATTAAGAATGTAACAACATATGAATGAAATAGAAGGAAAAAGCTATTATTAACTTCCACACTATGCAAAACTCCCAGTCATTTAAAGTAGAAATAAGGTATTTATCTTGCAGACATAAGGGGATTGCCATAGAAAGGGAGACACTTTTTTTTTAAAAAGGCCTTCTACATTTACTTTCTTCCTAGGATAGAAAAAGAAATTATCACTAACTTCTAGGAATTGTTAAAAAAAAAAAAAAAAAAGCCCAGATGACTATGGTTATAGCCCTAGTCTTTTTCTCTCCTCTTAACATTTACTGCTTTTGTATTTGTGATCTCCAGAAGCTGTAGTTACCTCTCTTGTCTCTTTTGCTTTCTATCCTCATTTTAGTAGTTATTTCAGTGTTGTACTTTATTTTTAATAGATTCAGCTCTTTCGTTTAGATTTCTTTCCCCCTAGAGTTATTATTCAACCAATGACCTTGTAATGAAGTTTAATATCTGAATCAAACTGTTATTTATGGCCACAAGAATTTCATTTCTCACATATGCCTCCCACATTTTTTGTTGTACATGTTATCTTTCATACACTGTTTCTAGTTGTAGATGATCATACTTAAGATTAGAATCTCTGCTTCCTAAGCTTAGAAAATGTAAATCTGAATAAAAGATGTGCTAAAAAGGACAGCAACACATTACTAATGGTGGGGTTGTTATAATTCATCAATCTGAACACATTCTAATAAAGAAATGTTACTGAACACTCAGGCCCAGTGCTGCATCCGTTTCATAAGACACAAGCAAATGTATGCTGGGACTGACATGTGCTAACTCACAAGAGCCAATGTTAGAAGAAAAACAAAATAAATTTAATAGAGTTTGAGTAAAGAACAATTAAAAAATAGGGCAGCACTCAGTGAGCTTTTACAGGCTGATGGAGAAGGAAGCCAAAGAAAAGATATTTTGATTGGTTAGAATAGAAACACCCTCATTAGGGGTGAATTGGCTGCTCCTGATTGATAAAGTCTCTAGATTCCTTTGACTCTTTACAAAGGGCTTTACTTTGATTATGTGAGTACTTAGAGGGCTGCAACTATACCAGTCTGGCAGCCTCCCAATTAAAATGTTTTTAAACCAATGTTGCACGTCTCTTTCCAACTTTCAGCTCAGTGACTTCATGTCAGTAGTTTAAAATCCACTATGGTAAGGATATTTACACCATAGAAATCAGCACATTCTATAGATAAGGACTTGGGTGTTTTTTTAAGAGACCCAGTTGCTTAACATTTACCAACATAGAATTGGACACAAGGTGATTATTTGACTAACAACTCATCATTTTTGCATTCCATTACTACTCAATTATTTATGGGATTGAGTACTAAATGCATGCTATAAATTAAAATATAGAGGTTGTTAAAGGAACCAGAATGTTCATGAAGTAGAAATATTGAGAGATCTGGCCTTATAAGATCCTCTCAGATGACAATAGGTATTTGATGTTATCAAATAAAACATAACATTTCTTAAGTGCAAATATTGCTGCTACAAAACACACTAGCACATAAGTCTATGAAGGCTTAAGGTATTTTTCTACCATGCCAGTATGTTGGTTCATACTAATTTTTAACATATTTATAAAAACTGTAGAAAAGAGTTCTTGACTGTTATTTTGAGGCAATATGTAAGATAACTAAAAAAGTAAATTCCCACAGGGATATACAGAAGATAAATTTGATGTAGACTTTCACTACATTTTAATCACCAAGGTACAAGACATTATATTCTACTTTCACAGTACTGAATTAGAGTAAGCACAATGCTTTACA